GCAAGCGCAAGTAAACAGTGCGCAAGCGCAAGTAAACAGTGCGCAAGTGCAGGTAGACATGGCCGTGGAGGACTTGCGAAAGGCCAAACAAAAAGGAGATGAGCAGAAGGTGCAAAAGGCGAAGGAGGAAGTGAAAGATGCGAAGGAGGAAGTGAAAGATGCGGAGGAGAAAGTGAAGGAGGCGAAGAAGGAGGTGGAGGAGGCGAAGGAGGAAGTGAAAGATGCGGAGGAGAAGGTGGAAAAGGCAAAGACGGAGGCGAAAAAGGCGGAGGAGAAGCTGGAGGAGAAAGCCCAGCAGGAGAAGGCTATTCGCTGCACAGCTTCAGTGTTGTCACAGTTCTCCCGAAAGATGCACAAAAAGATGGAAGCTACTTCACATATCTTCACATTCTACGGTTCGAACTCAGTTCTGTTTCTTCAGTGAACCCTCAGTATGCCTCCCAAAGATGAATGAATCCCAAATCACCTTACTGGAGATGTTCTGCTCCAGGTGCCAGGCTTGGAGAAGGCAAAAGAGGAATCCTTACCCTTACTTGAAAAGTTTGCCGGAGAGTTGGATGATCTTGAAGAGCGCTTCTTGAACAGCCGCATCAACAACATAGAAGACAGGCCTTTCTTGGAGAGGGATGGAGCGATTCAAAGCATCGTGGCAGAGATGAAGAAGACGCAGCGGCTGAAAATTAACAAACCAAGAGTCGTTTGTTTGTGGAGCCCTCGAGGGACGGGAAAGAGCTCAGTCATTCGACGCCTGGCCAAGATGGATGAATATGCAGAAAGCCGTCGATGTGGACGCCTTCTGGTGTTTGACGCACAACAGATGAATGACCTTCAAGAGACGAAATGTTCTACGCTTGTCTCTGCCATGGTCCTGTGGCACCTTCTGCAGCTGCTTGACGGTTACGGCGTCAAATTGGCAGGGCAGGTGGTCAACTTCAACCGCATGAAGTTCACCGATGTGGTTGAACTCGTAAAACGTAGTTCAACACCTTTAACTGGTCGTTTAAGCAGCTTTGAGGCTTGGGTTAGGTCATCTTGCAAGATGGAGCGCGATGTTTTCAAGCAGTGGTGTTTGGTAACGGCTGCAGCCTTCAACGCTCAACAGGACTGTGCTTGCTTGGTGTTGTTGGATCAGACTGAGCTCCTTGTCAAACAAAGGCTGGGTCAGCCAAGCTCCTTTGGCGGAAGCAGATCAAGGTTCACCGAAGTGTGTAGCCAGTTTCCTCAGCAGATGGCTGTTTATTGCACAGGCACCGTCAATATACAGCTTGACTTACCCGCAGCGGAGTACACACGTCTCTATATTATGTCTTTACCAGCTCTTCGGCCATTATCTTTTGAAGGTGCCAAAGAAGCCATGGTACAGTGGGGAGGGACACAATACGGCGAGGAGGTGCTTGATCAAATATATCTTTTCTCTGCTGGGGTCCCACGACTTCTGGAATATGTGTTTCAAACAGATGGTGAATTAAGATCAACTTTTGAGATTGCATTCAATGCCATGTCCGAATGTTTTGAAAGTTCCTATCGATCTGCAGCGCCTTTCTTTGATCAACCAAATGCGGCATTGTCGCTGGTTCTTTGCTCAGCAGTTCGTTGGAACGCAACCGACAGTGAGCTTGTGCCGGGCACATCGAAAAGGTGGCTAGATATTTTCAACGCGGGAGCCGCATTTCCAAATGGCGCTTCTGTGTTGGTTCCGCTCGTTTGGTGGTTTCGTGATCAGAAAAGACGGAAACTGCTGGCTCAAAAGGCCCGAGAGTTGAACATCAGCCTCGAAGGTCTCTTGCCAGATCCTGCCGATTTGCTTCAGGCTCCACAACAAGGCCCGCTTTCCCGAGGGACACTGTGGGAAGAGCAGGTTTGCAATGCTTTGGCCGCCCGTTTTTATTTGTATTGCCTGGCAGATCAAAAAACTCCATGCGACACCTACATACCTTTTCTAGATATCTATCCTACGACAGACGACCATTTACGCAGTGTATTGGAACAATTCAGTGTTTGCTGGAGTGACGGGGTCGAGTATCCAAAGAAGGAAGCAAGTGTCCTTGACAGGGTCGGGAAGGCCATCAAATGCAACAAGAATTTCAAGAGTGCTCACCATGACTTGCTGATCCCTGTGAAGCGAATTGAAACAGGACAGCTGGAGTACATAGCCGCACAGTGCCGTTGCGGAAGTCCCAAAACTGCAGCAGAGTTGACTACAACATACCAGGACAAAACCAGAAAACCCAGGACCAGTGACCCGAGCTCGGAGGTTCCTGACATGACGAATGTACTGTTGCAAATTTGTTCCACAAGTGAAGGGACGCAGAAGTTCCAGAAAGCTACACCCTGGGCAAAGCGGCAAGAGGAGAAGAGATATTCACTGATGAGCTGTAAAGCTATCATTGCGCAGCTTCACATGCTCCGCATCTTGTGATACAACGGCGACGGAGCCGCATGTGGACAACCGAATCATGTAGCTATGGCTTTAGCGTGGCATGGCCAAAGTTGCCTCTTTAGTGAAGATGCTGAGGCATTTTGGAAAGCTTTGCTGCCTACCGACCGGATTTTAAGTTGCCTACCGATGAATTTCTATTTGTGACACCGATGATCATGCAAACCTTGATCCGGAGTAGCTGAATGGCAGCTTATTCTGCTCAAACCCCATGCGCGCTCGAATTCTTCAGGACAGCAAAGTGCGACTTGTTTCCTGCCACCAAAGATGCCAGTCAGACATGTCAAAACAAAAAAAAAGTTTGATTTGACCCAGCAAAGTCAAGATGATGTGCCTTTTCAGTATGATACATTCCGAGATTCGCAGGCAACTCTTGAGGCTGTGCACCTCCCCTGGAAGGCATAGCAAACAATGAACGTCATGAATTATATTCGATATTCAAACTTCATATACCTCAAGACCTAGAAGTTTTTTTTGCTAACAGAAAATTGGCTGTTGTGCATGTTTGGATCTCCTTGACAGGAGTGGCAATGTGGTGGCGTACCAATCGTATCCTTACGTGTCATCGAAAGGTGGAAGGGCAAGGCCAGTCTGTCTCCATACCTTTCGTGAATACAAACAAGAGACCACTTGCACCACATAGTTTTTGCGAGCACGAGACACCAATTTGCTCAGCCAAAGCCAAGAGAGTCAGCGTCGATTGCAACAAGATTTTGGGCAGCTCAAGATGGAGAGAGATCCCGTTTTTCCCAAAAGCATCCGATGCTTGGGTTCTCGTTTAGTTTGAGTTTCGGGGGCGGAGCGACGGTCGATGGTAAAAAGGTTGGACGATCCGAGGAGCAGGGTGGGGGCGGGGCTGGGATGTCCGGGCAGAGGGAGAGGGTGGTGATTTGGCGGGGTGGTGATGTGGAGGGCGGTGTGGTGACGTGGCGATGCGGGTGGGAAAGGTCTAGGCAGAAGGAGCGAGGATCGGGGCACGAAAGAATGGACGAGCAGGTGTGGCTGCGTGCTGCGGGTGAGGAGAGCCCAATGAGAGAGAGGGAGGATCAGAAGACGAAAGGTTGGACGCGCAGGTGTGGCTGCGTGATGCGAACGATGCGGGTGGTCGAACGTGTTGGGGCGCGGGCGAAAAGGTACCGCGCTCCAGGTCCCGTTTGAGCTTGCGGAATCTTGCAAGGTCTATCGATTTATCAACGTTGTCGATTGTCGATTGCCTCCTTTTTGCCTGTAGTCAACAGCGGCTTTGCTGGATCCTTCGCACTAAGCCCAAAAGCATCTCCGATGCTTGGGTTCTTGTTCCCAAAAGCATCTCCGATGCTTGGGCTCTCGTTTAGTTTGAGTTTCCGGGGGGGTGAGCGACGGTCGATGCTCGAAAGTTTGGACGATCCGAGGAGCAGGGTGGGTTGGAGCAGGGCGGGGCGATGTCCGGGCAGAGAGGGCGGTGATTTCGC